GATTATCCTTTAATATGTGATGAGCATCAATAGTTTGTCATCATCAAAAAGGGGGAAATTGTTGAGCAATTAGGTTTTGATGATTATAAACTAATGATGATTATCTATCTAACGTGTATGTTAAGTTGTGCATAGAAAAAGCAAATTATGCTTGGAACAGGATACAAGGAACCTGAGTAATGACAGGTATATATGTAAGGAACTTGAGCAATATAGGATAAGCAATAGAGGAACAAGAACAACGATAAGTGTTATGGTTGATAAGCATGATGATGGCTAAGGGACCATGAAGGTAACTATGTAAACATGTGTTTACATATGTTAGCTTCATAAGGTAAGTATCCTATACATATATAGGTTATGTATGTGTAGGAGTCTTTTAATTTAGTTTAGTTTTCTTTATTGTTTTTATAAATAAAAAACTAACCTTCTGTTTTACTTTGTTATTCTCAGAAGTTTGCTCAGTTCGTCATCATCAAAAAGGGACAACTTGTTGATCCTTATGAGGTTTTGATGATGATGTTAAGAATTGAGCAAACTTCCATTTAATAAGGATTTTCTAGTGTTGTGATGTTTGCAGGTTCAGTAAGCGTTGAGGGCTGAAGTAGGAATTGAAACAGAGGAACTTTAGAGGATCCATGAGGATACAAGTAAATTTAGAAGAAGAGTTCCAGAAATGGAACTTCCAGAAGTTTCTTAACAGGAACTTCAAAACGGGTTGTAACGACCTGGTTTCGGTGTAATGCTGGGGAAAACCCTAAGATCCAGAATATATCAAGACTACAGGATTCCAGAACAAGAGTTTCAGAGAAGCAACATGAAGACAGAGAAATAGAAGTATATTGCTCTAGGATTCATGTAAGTATGTTGGACATAAAAGTCGGTCTGGAACAAGTCTATATAGAACCAAGGTGAATTCCAAACAGTCAATGAAATTAGAGTAACTGACTTGTCAGGAACTCAGAGACTGTCAGAGTTCAGGAACCTAATAGGAACTTAAGTATGAACGTCGTTAAAAGTCGGTTTTAATGATATATATATTTACCTTATACGTGCATATCTTTTAGGGATTTGGTTTTACTGAATAAAGATATTTATCTTCTAATAAATCCCTTTTGGAAAAAGATAAGATTGTTTAAAAAGTATTTTAAACAAAAAGATAAGTTTTGAATAAAATCTGATTTTATGCTAAGTTTATCTTATTATTATTGACAGTTTTTATTCTTAACAAAAAGATATATTTTCAGAAAACTGATTTTTAGAAAATATCTTTTAAACTTATCTTTTCAGAAAATCTATCTTTTTCAAGATGAAATGAATAATTTGAGTGTACTATAAATATGCTCATATGCATTCATTCAAAGAGGGGGCTGACGAAGTGTAGTGGTCGTTCTTAATGGTTTTATCCTTCACCACGAAGCTAAGTCAGTCCTCCTGGTCAAAGTTCCTATCAGGTTTTTGGTTACAATACGTCTAGTGAGTTCCAGACAAATCTTGAGTGTTCAACATATTAGTTTTATACATTATATCTTTTATATGTATTTGAGAGTTGTTTAAGGGTTTGAGTGAACTCTTGTAATGGGGAATTAATAAGGGTTTGAGTGAACTCTTGTATTAGGGTGAGAACTTGAGTGAGTTCTTTGTATGTAGAGAAGGCTTTGAGTGAAGCTTGAGAGAAAGAGAAAGAGTAAGGTTTTGAGTGAAGTCTTGAGTGAGAAGAGAGGTCTTTGAGGGAAGATTTCAAGCTGCAACTATTAGAGGGAATAGTTGTTGGGGATATGAGTTCGTTGAGGAACTCGGTAGAGGCTCAAGTTCCTCATAGGTTGTAACAGAGTCGTTGGCCTATTTTAGTGGAATGTTTTGAGTCAAAATCCCTTTGGGTAGAGGTTTTTCACTTCCTATTTGGCCTAGGAAGTTTTCCTCGTAAAATCTCTCTTGCACTATTTCTCTATTGCGTTAAGTTTCTTTTAATTCCGCAAAAAGTGACTAGCAATCTCCATACTACAATTCACCCCCCCTCTTGTAGTATTTCATCTAAATAACAATTGGTATCAGAGCAGGTGCTCTTGATAAACCGGGTAACCCCGAGGAGCAAGTTCCAGGCTAGGATGGATATCTACAAGGAATGCAGTGAATGGAACTCAACCCTAGAACGTTCCGAATACCACGTGAAGACCAAAGTCTGCTTGTGAAGCAGATGTGATTCAAAGATGAACATCTTTGAGGTAAGTGTCTCGTCTTTGAAGTCTTGATTATATGCATGACATTATGTGTACAAGTTCCTTGTAGTATTTCTAGTTAAATTTTGGATTTTGTTTTGAAAGTTTGCAAATCAATTTTGTGTAACCTCAAATCTGATTTATAGAGTGAAAAGTATTTGTCAAATTTACAAATTGATTTATTTTTAAAGAATCGGTTTACTGGAAATAGTTCAAGGAACGTATTATGTAGAATTATGCATATTTGGTCTCTTGGAACCTAGATTACCCCTGTATGGAAACTTAATTCTTTGGGCAAGGTAATGAACGTATATTTTGAATATTTGCCAAAGAATGACCTTATCATGTGTATGTGTTTTTCTGAATATTTATTATGTAGACACATGGTGTTTATTGTTAGTAAAGATAGTTGGTTTAACCGTAGTTGTTTTAATTATGGATTATTGATGTCTATTACTAACATGAAAGTACCCAATATAAATTGGGTAACCAAAGCCAAAAGATGACTGATTTTGCAGGCTAAGTGAGTGGAGACAACTTATTAATAATGATGAACTTTGGTTGTTTGTATATAAGCAATTATGTGCAAATTCCTCTCACTAGAAAGCCTTTATAAGAGGTTTGTAGTAGGTGAATCGACAACATGAATAAGTGTGTAAGTTGCCTATACATCTCTCTGTAAATATTGGTCATGTTCTTTTGGTATGTATTAATCCTTCACAAATTCCAATTGAAATTCAATTCCCTAATCTTATGAAGGTTATTTGTGAATGGATGAAAAGAGAAGTTGTTTGGATGTTTATAATGTATATCATGACAAACTAACTTCTCTTCTAGCTTTGTGCAAGTTATTAATGATTGTTTTTGTAGGTTTGTCCATTGAGACAAATTGGTGCGCAAAAGTTTGTTCCATTAGGAGCTCAGTGCTTAAATTGGTTGGAACTTGGTAAACTTGGAATGATAAAACGAATTAGGGATACAGGAATAACAAAGCTTCTATATCAAGGTGCTATAGGAGTTAGCGTATACGTTCCTGTAAAGATTCTTGTTCAAGTTCCAGTTAAGTTCTTATTATTCAAAGTTCCTTGGAACAAAGCATTAATTCCTGTAGCAGACTCTTATGAAGGATGATGAGCTAAGATGATTATATTTGACTTCGTGTTAGAAATTCATCATTTCGTTGATGGAACGACATCTAAAAGGGAGTATTCTTACAGGAACTTTATGTTTTAACACTTTTATGCTTTAGGTTTTATCTACCTCTTTTGACTAACCTACTGACATTTTAAAGGCACAAAGGAATCTCTTGGGTTGTGAACTTTCATGTTATATCTTTTGAATGATAATATGAGGGACTTTGACAAGGTTTTGAAGAATTTGAGATTTAATCAACACGTTCCTCTACCCAAGATACAATGGTCTAAAGGACCAGAAGGACATGTTCCAACTTTATGTCAAAAGGAACATGGAAGAGTCGAAGGTTTATAATAGGAGGGAACTCGCATTATCTCGACAGCGAGGTTCCAAAAGAGATGATGATAGCCAAATCAAGGTATCTCTTTCTATAAACCTACAATGGAAGAACTTTGACTTATAATACTAACACGAAAGGTAAAATTTCTACAGAACAGGAAGTTAGTAAGTCAAGTTCCTATCCCATTGTGAATATCTTTCTTGTCGAGTTTTTAATGCACATTCTGGTTTTCAATTGCTTGTAACTCTAGTTGTTTCATGGCTTCAATAAGACATCATCAATAAAGAGTGGAAATGTCACATATGAAGGGAATCAAAAAGGGAACACATCATTTGTGGATCTCAAGGTGATTCCTAACAACAACCTGACATTTCTAGGTTTTATTGAAGATGAGATACTTCTATGCTTCAAACTGTGAACATGTAAACCTTTTCATGCTTGATAAACCTAGTAGGAACTCGATAATAGGTATATGTATATGTAAGTTCCAAACAGGTTAAGATCGAGAAGCATGAGAATCAAACACATGTTACATTCTCTTTCAACATCAGGTATATGGTAAGCAACACTAATCCATTGGATCTTAGTGATATGAATATGTTTACCATGTGATATGTAGAGACTAATTGAAAGATATGTCTTGTTTATAAGTAATGAAAGCAAATGAATACTTGGTTAATTTTCTTAACAGAAGAGATGATGAACTGTTTGTTGAAAGTCTTTTCTATCACAGGGTATGTGGCTAAGCGTTCATCATTTATGAAGGTATAGATCTAAAAATGGAACCTAGTTCCAGTAATTGTTGATGTTTGTTGCAGGAACACAGGATTGACAACAAGTTTCCAACTTTGAATCATGAAAGACACGGAGAAAACAAAGTTATATGCTAATGGTCTTTGCAGGTTCTTTGGAATAGTTTTCAATGTCTCTTGCTACATCATCAACACTGAAGCAATAGATCTTTGATGAACAAGACACCCTATGTTCCACTTAGGGATGTTTGATGATATAAGTTCCAAGGCGATTTATCCATAAACGCCTAGACTAGTAAAACATAAAGAGTCTACACTATCATGGTTAATGTGCAATAAATGAACATATTTTGAGACTGACAGGTTTGTTCCCATCAAACAGGTTATAAAAGATGAACTCATGTGTTCTTGAAGAACTAACGGAGTTCCTAATAAAGAAATATGTCACTAAGGATAACAGCAAGGGCTAGCTACATATGTTGAGGAACTTTGAGATGTTAAGTTCAAACTCATGCAACAAAGGTCAATGAACTCAATACAAGAAAGCAAGAAGCCAGGATTTGCTTAGGTGATTATGAATACGAACCTTGGAAACTTCAACTTATCAGAAGAATCTGTAATGTGCAGACTCTGTGGCTATCACAGTCTTCTGTTGAAGTATGTCTCTTAACCCTTAATCATCTGAATGATGGCGCTATTTCTTGTTACTTTCTATAATTTACACTATGTTTTACAATGATCATCTTTCATTTTGCAGTTGTTTGGTCATGTTAGTAAGAATGAGCTCCCCATGTTTCCGAACTTGACTCATCTGGAGATTGAATTTGAACATAGTATGTTCCAGATGCTAAAATGTGCTCCTAAGCTAACACATTTAACTGTGGATGTGGTAAGCACGCTATTTTGCTATGTATTGTTTTCCATCTACAGAATCTATGTATATGAATGCTGAATGCATGTCTTTCATTTTATTGACAGTACCTTATATGATTTTGTGTATTGATTGGCAGAAGCGGTCATTAACGGTTAACAATCTCCCATTTCCATCTGAAATCATACCTCCATGTATTTCATCTATTTCATATATTGAGATTCGAAGATTCTCTTGATTGGAAATTGACACAAAACTGGTAATGTACATCTTAAAGAATGCAATGGTGTTAAAGGAGTTGAAAATACACATGCATCGCGCAAGCATGAAACGTGAAAGGGATGCATTCAAGCAGCTACTAAGCTTTCCTAGGATCTCCTTTTGCGAATTCATTATTTGTTCTTTCTGTGAATCAGAAGCATTGCCCCTTGATTTCCCAATTCCTTTTTTTTTTGAAAGGAAGTGTCACAGGGACAATTGACTTTCCATCTCTTATCAATAACCTCAGTATGTGGAATAATTAACTCCAATGTCCTCATTTTGGAGGAAACTTTAATGTTTTTAATGTGATTGAAGACAATATGCACTCTGTACATCTGCTAGCTTGTTGCAACTTATTGATTTTTTTTTTAAATTAAATAAATTATTCTTAAATTAGCTTTTCAGCGTTAATTCATTACTGGTTGAAAAGTAAGGATATTTGAGTATTTAAATTGTAAAGCAAGGTAACTTTGTCCAAAACTTATGATTAAAAATAAATGTAAAGAATAAAAAAGAACATCTAAAAATGAAAGCGTAAAAAACACAAAGGAAAGACAAAAGGGGAAGAAGGTAATACTTTTTTTTTTTTATCTTTTCTACGTACTACTTATAAAATAATCCCCCACTCCATCTATTTACCTTAATTACTGTGTTGTTTGAGAAATAAGCATATCAAAAGGGGATGGTGGGAAGTTATTATTATTATTATTATTATTATTATTATTATTATTATTATTTTATTTTTATGTTATTACAAATTTAGATATATAAGTATGTAACAATAAAAAATCTCACATAAATAATAAAATATGTTTAAAATTTATTTATTTATTTTAATTTGATTTGAAATAAACAAGTAATAAAATCTTGAAATGAGGTTAACTAAATATGACCTAATATGCAAAGTGAAACTCTAAATTCTAAACTCTAAAATTGACTCAAAACCAAATTAAACACAATAGTGTGTTGCAAACTTGTAATGTTGTATACTTGTATTTGTATCCCATTGAATCAGTTACCAAATTACGAGCATCTCCAATGGTATACAAATAGGGACTTCTTGCAAATTAATTAAAATTACAAGCATGTAGTTTACCATTGGAGTGGAAATTGATGTAGCTAGATTAAGAAACGTTGCTCAAACAAGCTACGTTGCTTGATTTTTCAAAGATAATATCACCCATTAAACATATGACATGTGTATGATAAAAACTATTTTAATTATTTATGTTTCTTCAAAGCTACAATATGCTACGATTAACCATTGGAGCTAGAGTTGTCAATTCGGGTAAACGGGTCGGGTTTGGGTCGGGTCAACTCGGATTGGGTCAATTTAGATTAATTCCATAACATATGGGGGTCGGGTTTGGGTTGGGCCATGCTTGAGTCAGGTCATGTTGGGTCATACTTTTTATCGGATTTGGGTCAGGTTTAGGTCGGGTTAATAACATGTCGGGTTACATTCGGGTCGGGTGAACAATAGGTCGGGTTTAATTTGGGTTTTCACAGGTTAAAACGGGTTAGGGTAATTCTCGGGTTCGAGCTGGGTTCGGTTCAAGTCAATAATTGGCGGGTTAGAATCAGGTCGGGTCATTCTCGGGTTTGAGTCGGGTTCGGTTCAAGTCAATAATTTGCGGATTATAATCAGGTCGGGTCATTTTCAAGTCGGGTCATTATCGGGTTCAAGTCAATAAATTGCGAGTTATAATCAGGTTGGGTCATTTTCAAGTCGGGTCTTTCTCGGATTCAAGTCAATAATTTGTAGGTTACAATCAGGTCGGGTCATTTCTAAGTCAGGTCATATTCGGGTTCAACTAACTATAAATAGATAATTATCATTTTTATGAAGCTAATTATTTCCTTTGACTATAATATATATGGAAATATACTAGGAAACTATAGTCTATAATTTAGGAAAATAATTATCTCCTTTGACCATACAACAAGTATATACTATATTTAACTCTTAAATTTTTAAATTTGAGGATGATGCTCCTTTCTTTTGCTAGCCTCGACCGACTTGGTCTCCCAAGACAAAATGCTTTGATCAACAATAATAAGGTGGTCTAAATTGCATTTAAAGTGTTTGAAATCGGGTCAGGAACAAATTGGGTTGGATTTATGTCGGGTTAATAACAAATAGTGTTAATTTCAAGTCGGGTTAGTAACAAATCGGGTTGAATTTTTGGGTTGGGTTAGTAATAGGTATGACAAAATTCGGGTCGGGTCAATAACAAGTCGGGTTGAATTTGGGTCAGGTCAAGCAATAACAAGTCGGGTTGATTTCGGGTCGGGTTTGTAATAGGTTGGGTTAAATTCGGGTCAGGTTAGGAACAAGTCGGGTTGAATTCAGGTCAGATTAGTAACAAGTCGGGTTAAATTCGGGTTTTGACAGGTTAAACTGGGTTTGGGTCAATTTTGGTTCAAGTCAGGTTCGGTCCAAGTTAATTAAATTGGTCGTTGTAAACCGGTAAATCGGTGCAAGTTGTAAATTGGTAAATTGGTTGTTAAAAGAAAATTGAATGGTTCCATGGACTCCTAGAGGATATTAGGGACCATGGTAAACATTTAGGCAATTTTTATTTGCGGGCGAAAAAAGTCAAAAAAATTCCAAAATTGAAGTCTAATATCCACACTTTTTTAGAAATTTTGGAGGTTTCGGGGCCCGGTGTCGAAAAGTCTTGAAATTCTATAGGATGCATCTCGGGGTCATATAATGCCGTTTGGAATATGATCATTATTTGTTGTCATAATTGTTCGTGGTAGGCTTGAATTAACGAAATCAGTACAAGTTGTAAACCGGTAAATTAGTCGTTTAAATACAAATTGGATGGTTCCACCCACCCAATTGGACTCCTGTAGGGTATTAGGGACCATGGTTAATATTTTGGTAATTTTTATTTCCGGGCGAAAAATTAAAAAATCAAAAAATTTCAAAATTGAAGGCTAATATCCACGCTTTTTGAGATATTTTGGAGGTTTCGGGGCCCAGTCTAGAAATGTATTAATATTTTAGGGGATACACCTGGGGTCATATAATGTCGTTTGAAACCATATATGATCATTATATGTTGTCATAAATGTTCATAGTAGGCTTGAGCTAATGAAATCCGTACAAGTTGTAAACCAGTAATTAATTAAATTGGTCGTTTAAAGGCAAATTAGATGGTTCCAACAACCCAATTGGACTCCCGGAGGTTATTAGGGGGTCATAGTAAACATTTCGACAATTTTTATATCCAGGCGAAAAAAGTCAAAAAATTCCAAAATTAAAGACTAATATCCACGCTTTTTGAGAAATTATGGAGGTTTCAGGGCTCGGTGTCGAAAAGTCGTGAAATTTTAGGGGATACATATCGGGGTCATATAATGCTGTTTGGAACCATAAATGATCATTATTTGTTGTTATAAATGTTCGTGGTAGGCTTGAGTTAATGAAATCGGTGCAAGTTGTAAACCGGTAAATTGGGCGTTTAAAGGAAAATTGGATGGTTCCACCCACCCAATGGGACTCCCGGAAAGTATTAGGGACCATGGTAAATATTTAGGAAATTTTTATTTCCGGGCGAAAAAAAAGTCAAAATTGAAGGCTAATATCCACGCTTTTTGAGAAATTTCTGAGGATTCGGAGCCCGGTTTCGAAAAGTCTTGAAATTTTAGGGAATACATCTCGGGGTTCTATAATGCTATTTGGAACCATATATGATCATTATTTGTTGTCATAAATGTTCGTGGTAGGCTTGAGTTAATGAAATCGATGCAAGTTGTAAACTGGTAAATTGGTCGTTTAAAGGCAATTAGGATGGTTCCACCCACCCAATGGGACTCCCGGACGGTATTAGGGACCATGTTAAACATTTCGGCAATTTTTATTTTCGAGTGAAAAAATAAAAAATTTCAAAATTGAAGGCTAATATCCACGTTTTTTGAGAAATTTAAGAGGATTCGGGGCCCGATGTCGAAAAGTCTTGAAATTTTAGGGGATACATGGCATCTCTGGGTCATTTAATGCCGTTTGGAACCATATATGATCATTATTTTTTGTCATAAATGTTCGTGGTAGGCTTGAGTTATTGAAATCGGCGCAAGTTATAAACCGATAAATAGACCGTTGAAAGACAAATTGGATGGTTCCACCCACCCAATTGGACTTCCAAAGGGTATTAAGGACCATGGTAAACATTTCGGCTATTATTATTTTCGGGCGAAAAAAGTCAAACAATTAAAAAATTAATTAAAGGCTAATAACCACGCTTTTTGAGAAATTTTGGAGGTTTCGAGGCCCGGTATCAAAAAGCTTTGAGATTCTAGGGAATACATCTCGAGGTCACATAATGTCGTTTGGAACCATATATGATCACTATTTGTTGTCATAAATGTTTGTGTGAGGCTTGAGTTAATGAAATCGGCGCAAGTTGTAAACTTGTAAATTGACCGTTTAAAGGCAAACTGGATGGTTCCACCCACCCAATTGGCCTCCCGGAGTGTATTAGAGACCATGTTCAACATTTCGACAGTTTTTATTTCCGAGCGAAAAAAGTTAAAAAATTCCAAGATTGAAGGCTATATCCACGCTTTTTGAGAATTTTTCGAGTCTTTGGGGTCCGGTGTCGAAAAGTCTTGAAATTCTATGGAATACTTCTCGGAGTTATAAAATTTCGTTTGGAACTATATATAATCATTATTTGTTGTCATAAATGTTCGTGGTAGACTTGAATTAATGAAATCAATGTAAGTTGTAAATCGGTAATTAAATTGGTCGTTTAAAGGCAAATTGGATGGTTCCACCATCCCAATTGGACTCCCGGAGACTATTTGGGACCATGGTAAATATTTCGGTAATTTTTATATCAGGGCGAAAAAAGCCAAAAAATTCCAATATTGAAGGCTTATATCCACGTTTTTTGAGAAATTTCGAATGTTTCGGGGCCCAGTGCGAAAAGCATTGAGATTTTAGGGGATACATCTAGGGGTCATATAATGCCGTTTGGATCCATATATGATCATTATATGTTGTCATAAATGTTCGTGGTAAGCCTGGGTTAATGAAATCGGTGCAACTTGTAAACTGGTAAATTGATCGTTTAAAGGCAAATTGGATGGTTCCACCAAGCCAATTGGATTCCCGGAGGATATTAATGAGCATGGTAAACATTTGGACAATTTTTATTTCCAAGTCGGGTTCGGTTCAAGTCAATAATTTGCGGGTTATAATCAGGTTGGGTCAGTTCCAAGTCGGGTCATTCACGGATTCAAGTCGGGTTATGTTCAAGTCAATAATTTGCAGGTTACAATATGTCGGTTCATTTCCAAGTCAGATCATATTCAGGTTCTACTAACTATAAATAGATAATTATCATTTTTATCAAGCTAATTATTTCCTTTGACTATAATATATATGACAACATACTAGGGAATTATATTTTATAATTTAGGAAGATAATTATCACCTTTGACCATACAACAAATACATATACTATATTTAACTCTTAAATTTGAGGATGATGCTCCTTTCTTTTGCTGGACTGGACCGACTTGGTCACCCTAGACAAAATGTTTTGATCAACAATAATAAGGTGGTCTAAATTGCATTTAAGGTGATTTGAAATCGGCTCAGGAACAATTTGTGTTGAATTTAGGTCGGGTCAATAACAAGTCGTGTTGATTTTGAGTCGGGTTATTAACAGATCGGATTGAATTTTTTGGTCGGGTTAGTAATAGGTCTTGTAAAATTTGGATCGGGTCAATAACAAGTCGGGTTGATTTCGGGTCGGGTTTGTAACAGGTTGGGTTAAATTCGGGTCGGGTTAGGAACAAGTTGGGTTGAATTCAGATAAGGTTAGTAACAAGTCGGGTTAAATTCGGGTTTTGACGTGTTAAAACGGGTTTAGATCAATTTTGGTTCAAGTTGAGTTCGGTTTAGGTCAATAATTTACGGTTTACATTCGAGTCGGGTCATCTCCAGGTCAGTTCATGTTCGGGTTTGGGTCTCACATACTCGGTTTAACTCGAGTCTTGGGTTGGTTTTAGGTCAGGTTTAAGTCACCATTTTTGTAGGTTCAGATGGGTCGGTTAATAATCGGGTTTGTGTCGGTATTTCTGATCGGATCTACTTTTGAGTGAGTTTTGACGGCTCTAATTGGAGTTGATAGCTACAAAATATATTAGCTTGGATATTTGATAAGGCAATGTAATCTAATACGAAGTATCAAATTTAAAGAAGAGATACTCCGTAGTAAGTGATCTTAGAAAAATAGAAAGTGGCAAACACCCTAAATTCAGTGGCGGGACGACATTTCATAGGATTTCAAAACCCTAATATTGGTGCTTCCAATTATTTCAAAAATCCCATTTTAGTTCGCCGGAGATCGGCATTTCGTGAATTTCTCATTTCTGTCCCAAATTTAAGGTATGAAATCTCATCTTTGCATTAATTTCTAGAAATTCATCATGATTCAACAGTACCAGTTATTGAAATCTAGTTGGCTCAGTGTATTTAGAATTCTAATTATGTTATTGTATGAATTAGAATTTCATCAAGTGTTTATTCAAGTTCCAGGAAAAATTAAATGGGTTTTTCACGGGGTATTATGGGTATTTGCTTGAATTTTCTACCATATGTGAGTGTGCTTGTTTTTGCGTCGTTGCTAATTTATGGAATTGTTGTTATTGATTTCATTTAGCTCAAGGAAATGGAATTAAGCTCAATTTGTTGTTAAAAATCAATACCAAATTGGTATATAAACTTTATTAAGTAATTGAAAATTACAAGTTCAATTGCAGCCACTTCAAAGATAATTAAGAAAACATTCTTTTTTTAGTAATTATAATTGATCAAATTTAAAACAATGCCGCCTTTCGTCTCAATAAGTTTGGTTGATTATGGCTTTATTTTTGCTCCTAGGATTGTTACCAGCATATTTCGATTGATTATGCTAAAATTGTTCACTTCAGGAAGATATATGTGTGGAGTATAGAGTGAATTTTCTTGAGTTAATTGTTTTTTTTAGGATGCCCCAATTTCTCACGATGAGAAACGAATTCCAGGGGGGCATTTTTGTGAATAAATCAACTACTTTTTCAACTTTATTCAATTGTGGAGCCCACAATATTGAAAAAGTTGTTGATTTATTCACGAAAATGCCTCCATGAGAAACAAATTTCTTTTCTCACCATGAGAAACAGGGAATTTCCCATTGTTTTTACATTAGGTATTCCTCTTGCTTTAGTGTAGCTATTCGAGTTTTCATTTTATGCTTTTGAAGTATTGTAAAGGTTTCGTGAACAAAATTGTATCTATATTGGATTCATTTGGTTTGATCAGGTGCTTGTACGGTTCCAATGTGGTGCTCAAAGAAACAAAAGTGCCTTGAAAGTGACCACGAGATGGATCGTATTAGTAAGCTACCAGATGCACTGCTTTGCCATATCTTAACTTTTGTGCCTACAAAACTTGTTGTTGCAACTAGTGTATTGTCTAGAAGATGGGTCTCTATTTGGACTAAAGTTCCTGTGCTAGACTTTACCAAGCTTCCTATGACTGTGACTTATAAGGATTGTGAAAGAAAAAAATGCATGGATTTCATAAGGAGTGTCCTGTGTAAGAATGACATTCCATGTCTGCAGCGTTTTCACTTTGAAATATTTAGTGATTTTGAGACCATCCATGTCGAAGCATTGATCAATTTTGCATTGAGACGTGAAATTTGGGAGCTTTATCTGAATAAAGAATGGGTACATAATAAAATTATGCGCCTGCCTATGGACTTATCTGCTCGTGAGACACTTAGGGTGTTGAAGCTAAGGGGTAATTTCGAATTCAATGTTTGTTTGAGCTTGCATCTACCAAAACTTGAGACTCTATACCTTTTTGAATTGAGGTGTGTAGGTAAAGATGTGATAAAGATTCTCACTTCAGGTTGCCCTGTTCTTAAAGAGCTGTTGATTGAATATTGTGAAGGACTAAAAGAGTTATCTATAGATTCTCTGACCTTGAATAAGCTGAAAATACATAATGAGAGCCAAAGTATTGCTGTTAAAGCACCAAATGTTAGATACCTTGATCTAGATGTTAAGGGGGCAAGATACGAAGCAAGCAACCTTAGTTCACTTGTTGAAGCCAGGGTCCGCTTGGGTGATTATGAACCTAGCAAACTACCTTGGCAACTTGAACTCATCAGATAAATCTCTGATGTGCAGACTCTGTGGCTATCACAGTCTACTGTTGAAGTATGTCTCGGAACCCTTAATCATCTGAATAATGGTGCTAGTTTTTAGTTACATTTTAAAATTTACACTCTGTTTTATAATGATTATCCTTCTCTTTGCAGTTGTTTGGTCATGTTAGTGAAAATAAGCTCCCCATGTTTCCGAACTTGACCCGTTTGGAGATTCAAATTGAACATAGTATGTTCCAGATGCTGAATTGTGCTCCTAATCTAACACATTTAACTGTGGATGTGGTAAGCACGTTGTGTTTATATAATGTTATTCCCTTATGTGATTGTCTATTTACAGGTTCTGTGTAATTGTCTATGAGTACATGCCTTTCATTTTATTGACATTACCTTGTGTGATTTTGTGTATTAATCGTCAGAATCGCTCATTAAAGGATAACGCTCTCCCATTTCCGTCTGAAATAGTGCCTCTGTGTATTTCATCCATTCCAAATATTGAGATTCGAAGCTTCTGTGGTTTCGAAGATGACACAAAACTGGTAATGTACATTTTGAAAAATGCAATGTTGTTAAAGGAGTTGAAAATATACATGCATCGCGTGAGTTTGAAACGTGAAAGGGATGCATACAAGAAGCTACTAAGTTTTCCCAGGGTCTCCTTTTGCGAAGTTATTATTTGTTCATCTTGTGAACCAGAAACATTACCTCTTGACTTCCCTGTGATCCCTTACTCTTATGAATAATCTCGGTACGTAGAATAGTTAACTCGAATGTACTCATTTTGGAGGGAACTTTAATGTTTATGAATATGATTGAAGACAATATACTTTCTGTACATCTGCTTGCTACAACTTTAGTTTTTATGTTCCTTAAAAATCTATTCTTATTTCAGCATTGATGCATTTTACGGATGTAATCTTCATTACATTAAACCCCTAACCATCTATTTGAAAAATTAAGCTCTTAATTTGTCGTTCTGATTATTTTATGTAGCATCTTACTTTGCCCGGAATATTACTATGAACAAAATGCTTCTATATTTAAAAAAATATATATACTACCTCCGTTACATATTATTTGCAACGATTTGACATAAAGTAGAGAAGAAAAATGTCTAATCGTTGCAAATAATATGTAAGTAGTATATATATTTGAAATTATAAAACTTCAGATTTGACACCTCTTTTATATGGATGCTTTTGTTTGACCATTGCTTGAATGTACTCTTAGGATTGTAGGCCTTACACAATGATTGGATAACAATAGGAACGAAAAGGGTGGAGAAAGAAAATGTGGAAGAGATAGAGAGGTAAGGGGAGGGAGAGAGTTACTTTCCATTTTTCTTCCAAATCTCCCAACAATGGAGGGGTTATGTTTATGGAAAGTGGAGGCTCTATTTCTTTTCCCTTCATGTTTTATCACAAATAAGGAAGATTATATCTCTTCCTATCCAAACATAGTGAATATTTTACAAATCATAGAACCCAAAATTTTAATACTACCTCCGTTTCATTATTTAATTTGCAACGAATTAACATGGTATATAATGAGATGATCATCCCATCATTCTCATGGCTAACTAGGGGAGTGTGGTGTAAAGTGGTAGTCCGTCATTATGTACAATTTAAAAGGAAATTGGGGCAAACAAAAAAGACAGTGAGGGTAACAATTTTTTTTTTTTTTTTCTCTTTGAGGAAACCCGAGAGGGGAAATATACTAGGCTAAATCAAGGTCTACCAAAGTATGAAGACTTTGGGGGAAAGAGTTCGTACAAATTTATTCCGGAGAGGCAACAAAATGGGCAACCGTGTTTGCGCAACGCCTAATATGAGAACATGAGAAATAAGAAAAACCATTACACATACGCAATAGATTATAAAAAAATCAAAAAAAATTAGAGCAACACTAGACTTCTTGCTTTGGATCACTTGGACTACAACTAGTTGATCATTACTTTATCAAACGCTCATACTTAATTATGTAATTCCACAAATAACAACTTATTGACATCTAACAATTATTGCCACAATGAACCAATATTACAATAGCTAATAGTCACCATTATAAGTTTTTAACTACTACGTACATTAATTTTATTGAATAGCGCTTTAGCTCCAAAATTTATTTCTCACCTAAAGGTATAACAAACTAATCACTTATTTAGGGCATGTTCTCATAAACTAAATTCAGCTGAAATAAAATGAAAATATTTTATAAGAAAAAGAAATTAGAAGTTGAACTGAATTGAATGAAAATATACTTATGCGAACATGCCCTTAGTACCAAATGACCCCGCGTGAATAGAAGTGGACGAAAAAAAAAATCTAACCCCATCAACCTAATTTGATTGATTTTTATGCTTCAAATACTTGAGATTGAATTCAAATCGCCTTACTTTAAAAAGTGTACTCCGTACCTCCAATCCGGCCATTAGTGTTCGAATACTTTACATCAAATCTGTTTTTTTTTTTTTTTTTTTTTTTCGAATCGGATTTTTCTCGATCCAAAATTTGATGGTACCCGACTCGGTCACTTTTGAGACGGATCTACGTCACGGCCTACGTTTACCACAAACAGTCTTGCCATTTTCAATTCAGATAAAGAAAGTTGTACTCGTCAAATTAATCAAACCCCCCAAATTAGACACTTCTACTCTTCCTCCTAACTCCCAAAAATAAATGAAAAATTAAAAGATTCTTCCTTTTTATAGATTCTCTCCTTAATATTGCGTAGAATTTGCCCAATTTGGAGGGAAATTAACGTAATATTATATTTCATTCTTTATTCATTGTATGAGCTTAATTAGGCGGTGGCGTAAATCGTCGACGAAAATTGCAATGGCGGAAGAACTCAGAACGGCGGCTGCTGCTACTGCCACCGCAACCGGCGCTGCTACGGCGGCTCAAACGACGGTGGATTCTAATGGTCGGAAGAAGTGGACGTGGCCTTCTCTCCTCCGTTGGATTCCTACCTCTACCGATCATATCATCGCTTCTGAAAAACGCCTTCTTTCTTTGGTCAAGTAATTGCCACTTTCTCTCTCATTCGATCTTTTTTTGGGTTTTTGTCGTTTTTATGATTTGATATTATGATTTTAGTTGACCCCATTTGTTGAATTTGATTAAAATGGGTTTTATTGTGTTTTTTTGATGATGGGTTGTAAGGGTTTTTAGTAATTGATTGGAAATTTTGCTTTGTGATTGTGTTGGATTGGAAATTTTGGTATTTTGTTGAATTTATAATGATCATTATTTCCCAATTTGGAAAAAGCATCTGGGTTTTTGAGGCTTTTTTTTCATGAAATTTGGATGATCATTTATATATATAGCTTTGGTTCATAAATCATAATCTGATGATCATAACTATAATTTTGTGAAGTTCAAGGTAGAGTGAAATGAATTGAATTGGTGTCTGGGAGTGATCATGTTATTCTTCTAAATTGTGTAGGAAGAGAGGTATAACTTAAGAATGCGTTTTGCAATTTGATGTTCAGTTCATTTATATATGCCATCTCGGGTTTTAATGAGTTTGGAATCGTGTGTATTAATGTATGTATTTGGAAATTTGCCTTATGGGATTTGATCATTTGTTCTATTTCAGGACACCTTTTGTGGTGGAACAAGTGAATATAGGCTCCGGTCCACCTGGTTCTAAGATTAGGTGGTTTCGATCTGCAAGTGATGAACCTAGGTTTATAAATACCGTTACCTTTGACAATAAAGATGAAAACTCCCCGACAATTGTTATGGTTCATGGATATGGTGCTTCACAAGGCTTCTTCTTCCGGAATTTTGATGCCTTGGCCCGTCGATTTAGGGTTATTGCTATTGATCAGCTTGGGTAAGTATTTAATTATTTGTTTATATGTTTGTTATTGATCACATCAATCTTGTTTTAGCTTAATTCTGTGGTAGTTGTAAAAGCATCACTGTTGACTTTTGGGCTTCTGAACATTCTGGTCTACATAACAATTTTTCTAAGAGATGTGAGTGATATCAGATCAGTTGTCTTTCCTTTCCATTCATATTTTTGACACTGAGAAAGATTTCATTTGTTATGTCAAAGGAAGCATGGTCATGAAATGAAAATCATACATACCAACCTATGTGAATTTCCCCTTCCATTATTTTGTGTGCTGAATTTTCTGTAATGAGTGCAGAGATATTCTTGTTAAAGTTGGTTACTTTTGTTGATCTTAAACATACATAAGTCACGGTGTCCATGAATGCGACGAGTATCCTTGTGCTGTGTTGTCTATTAAATTGTGGCTTAATGTAAATGAAAATTTTAGAATTGGGTGAGTAGGTGGAAACCTACCCGAGATGTTGCTGAAAAGGATCAGCAATTAACCGGAAGGTTAAAAAATTGGACAGAAAAATAGAAGTGGCTATTTCATTTGCCCTTTCTGCACCCCATCATTTTTCATGAGATGATTGCGAAGCCGGATTAATTTTCATTCTGTATATTATTTTGCTTCATTGTTTGATTTCTTGCCTTGCAGTTGGGGTGGATCAAGCAGGCCTGACTTTACTTGCAAAAGCACTGAAGGTTAGTCATGTTTCTTGCTTGTCGATACTTGAAAAATTAATTGCGTTTATTATTAAATGCACAGTCCCTATGTTGGTGGTAATAGAAGCAGTTTAAACGTCATTGCATTTTCTCTTAGCTGATTGCAGCCGCTATGCTACTCTTTTTTTAATGCAATTCATTTCTCTTGCTTTGCAGAAACTGAAGAATGGTTCATTGATTCTTTCGAGGCATGGCGAAAAGCCAAGAAACTTGATAGTTTCATTCTTCTTGGCCATTCTTTTGGGGGTTATGTTGCTGCTAAATATGCTCTTAAGGTAAGAATTTATTTTTTCCAATCTTCAACTTGGAATTTGCAGAGAACTTCAGGATTATTTTTTCTTATCTAATCAATTCTTATTTTTTTTGTTGGTGTAGCATCCTGAGCATGTTCAGCATTTGATTTTGGTAGGATCAGCAGGATTTTCTGCGGAAACAGATATGTCAGAGCGTTTGACCCAGTTTAGATCAACGTGGAAAGGAGCTGTCTTGAACCATCTCTGGGAATCCAATTTTACTCCTCAGAAGCTTGTGAGGTGATTTTATTTATAGTTTTCTTATTGAATCTGTTGATATCTAACTAGTAATTACAGGGCATCAACCATGTTTATTAATTCTCTCTTAAGTCATTGACAAAGAATAATCCTGCAAATTGTAAAGTATGATCTCTTTATGCAACTTATTTTGAGGGTGAACCTTTAGAGAAAAAGAAACATGAGGAGTTGGTACACATATGATATCTCTATCTAAACTATGATGTTGAGTTTCTTAATATGCTTGGTGTGGTCATGCAGGGGATTAGGTCCGTGGGGGCCAAATCTTGTCCATAAATATACAAGTGCTAGGTTTGGTTCATATGGAACTGGTGAATTGTTGAATGAAGAAGAATCAAAATTGTTGACAGGTAATTTCACATAAGATTTGCATTGACCAAGTAAAGTATCTATTAGCTTATTCTTTTTTTTTTGACAAAATCTATTAGCTGATTCTAATTTAATGTCTCTTTCTTTTTAGATTATATATACCACACACTAGCAGCCAAAGGTAGTGGAGAGCTGTGCCTTAAATACATATTCTCATTTGGAGCATTTGCTCGGAAACCGCTTCTTCACAGGTTGGTGACTTTCTGTGTTCCCCTTCTTCACTCTCAATTTCTACTCATTGTTCAAAAGTTGACAATAGTAGATGTCCAACTTAAAGATTTACTTCTCACATTAGGCCATTATTCAGTAAAATATTTACTCCACCCGTTCCCTCCACTCTGTTGTAGTGAACATACCAGTATACCACTGATTACTGATTTCTTTCATTGATGACAGCATAGATACAATCCTCTTTGTAGAAGTACAAAATAAAGTGTTTGTTATTATTATCCTTAGTGCAGACGGACATGAATATGATAGAGTACATAAGAAGTGCTAGGCATATAATGTATTGCTTTGCCTTCTAAACCGTGGAAATGGGCTAACTATATTGTGATAGCTTACTGGCTGAAAAAAAAAGAGAAGAAATAAACAAAAGCTCTATACTGGTTCCTAGACTTTCAGCTGCTCGAAAGAGCTTCTTGATTGAATTATAAAAGTATATGAACACCTTTTCTTCTTTCATTGCAGTGCATCAGAATGGAAAGTGCCAACTACTTTTATCTATGGTTATCATGATTGGATGAGCTACCAAGGGGCTCAAGAAGCCCGTAAGCATATGAAAGTCCCCTGTGAAATCATTAGGGTTCCGGAGGTATGTCACTCTCTTTGTTTCTTCCCCCTTCCGAGCCCCTGGGTTTGTTTATATATCGAAAGCAGTGATATTTATGCAAATTTGCAAGCATACATGGCTGCAAAATTTGTTGGCCTGGGATCTTTGTAACCTCGTTTTTTATTATTTGGCCATTGCAGGGTGGGCATTTTGTTTTCATAGACAACGCGAGTGGATTCCATTCAGCTGTTTTTCATGCTTGTCGCAGATTTCTGTCACCAGACCCTGATAACGAATCTCTTCCAGAAGGCTTAACTTCTGCTTAATTTTGAACTGTATGTTGTAGCTTTATCTTTTCTGTGTCTTGCTTGTAGTAATATACTACCATGTAATTTGTTTACCTGTAAAAACTTACTCATTCATGGTAGTGAATTACTACCGTGTATTTTTTTTTGGCTCTCTTACAGAGTGATGCTATATAGTATAGAATACGAACAATTCTTTCACTACGTTTCAACTTTGGTGGTTCTCTCATGTATTTGTGAATATTGTTCAATAAAGCATGGTTTACTTACCCCTTATGTTTATTTACTTCTTGAGAGTGGCATGTCTTAGTACTTAAGGAGGTTATATACAAGTTTTTTTCCCCCCTTGATTCTCGTTTTAAGAATTTAGTGATCCTTTTCCTCTGTGCAGTCCGATTGCATTTTTCTTACGAAGTGTTGCTACTTGCTAGAACTTATGTTACTTTTATATGAAATGTCGTAAATTAATTGCAATTCTATGCAAAGAATCATATTTTAGAAGCGAATAAGCAACAATTTCATTTATCCATAAGTAGAACAGGGTCAAAACCTTCCACACCTCATTGTATGCTAGGTTTTGAATTGAACTTACGAACCCTTATATGAACTTATCGATCCTAATCTAGCCCTTAACTTATTACATTCGCAACTCAATACTCATTCAGGTGAAAAGAACAAAACCGTAGTTGGTAGTCGAAGTCCCTTACAGTCAAACCCACCTCCTTCGAACCGTACATGTCAAAGTCCATTTGGCAACACAGTAGATGAATAAGATGATAATGGATCTGTATCAAGTAGAAACTGTATGTACATGTGTATATACTGAAATAATGAACCCTACTTTGATTCAAAGAGTTAATGTCGTTTTGAACGTCTTCTTCAAAGAAAACGACATGCATGGTTAATTGCTGTAATATTGTACCTGACCCTGTCTATAAGACTATACTTGTTGTATATATATAGCTAGGTTCCTGCAATTGTTGTCATCTTTACACTCTTGACTAAAATTTTGTCAGTGAAAATATTGCGTTTATTTATGAATGTTGTACCACTGCTTTTTTCTTGCATTTGTCACATGCTTTTCTCTTTTATGTTTTTTACTGTGCAACTGTTATTTTCACCACAAATGGCTTTGTTTGAATTCTGTAATGGTGGTGAGATGGGTTAGGGAGAAGCATACAGGAAGCATTTTGTTGAACAGAGGAAGTAAATTGAAAGTCGATTTCCATGCGACATTAGGTTTTATCGATTTATCATTCTTATATCAATCAAACGGACACTTTATACTTCAATACATTGAAGTAATATGGTTTTATCATGTTATATTAAAACAACTCGATTTATGTGTGATGTGCTAGATGGTAGATGCTCAACTAAAAATGTACTGTATCCTTGTTTATTGTTTGTAACCCCCATAACCTTTTTAAAACTTATCCATTGATGAGTTTTGTTTTTTTTTGAAGTACATTGATGAGTTAATGGTTACCTCATTTTATTAATTGTATTATATTAATGTCTTTTTATATGTTGTTGATTTATGATAACCTTATATGAATGCAATTAATTAAAATTATAGGGTGTTGCATAAATATTGTTATATTTATATGAGGAATTGAGGATAAATTTTTAGTGTTGGATTTATGGTAAAAAGTGAAGCTTAAAAGGATCTCAAAAACAAGATTGCGGTAGAGTTGGTTTTTTTTTTTTCAACTGTAATTTCTTACAATATTCAGAATATATTTTGTTAAAATTTCATGGAATTTTGGATAGAAAGAAGACGAACAAAATAAAGACGGACCCCTTTATTTGTCATCTTATACAAGTATTTTTTTATGCTCTGACGACTTCACGGGTCCCTAAAAACTATCCTCTCTCTTTCTCAATAAAATAAAATTATTAAATTTAAGTATAAAAAAGTTGCTGTATTAACGGCTACTTTTCTTTTATATTCCACGTGGCTATTCCACTTTTGGCGGGAATTATATATATTTCCTTTTTGTACCCAACAAATTTTCCGGATTTTCTGAATTCCCCGGTTCAATTCCTTTGACTGATGCTGTGAATCTGTGATGCAGAAGACTATTTAATGAATTTACTTAACTTTTTTTTTTTTTTTACCAATTAATTTACCTCAACTTGCAACATAATAAAATTTAATCAACTTAATTAAATACTCTATATACACACATAAAAAATCACCATTACATTTTGTTAAAATTGAAACAAAATCACATCATCTGAATTTTTTTTTTTTACCAAAACAAAGTTGGTTGGGTGATCAACTTTTTTTTTCTTTCATAGGTTACCCGGCAGGGGAAGGAAGTGAGGTCGGATCCGCGGAGGACGGGATATCGGGTCCTACCCGACAACCCTCGAGCATGAATACGATATCACCCATAGACGGTCTTTCACTCGGGTCGGGTGCTGTGCAAAGGAGGCCTACTTTGATCCCAAGTAAAAATTCTTCCCACTCGGATGATTCAGGGTCTAGTTCCAGCAAACCCGGGTCGATTAGCTCGGATATTTGACCTGTTTGCAACTGTTTCTTGACCCATTTTACAATATCTTCATCTTGCTCAAACATAATGGGTTTTTTCCCTGTCAATATCTCTAGCAAAACAATCCCAAAACTGAACACATCCCCTTCTCTTGATACATGACCTGTTAACACCACTTCTGGAGCAACATATCCAAGTGTTCCGATTGGCGGTGTTGATGTTGAGGCTTCGATTGGAGTTGCAATTGTCAATCTGTCTAGACCAAATTCTGATAAATGGGCTTCAAAATCAGCATCAAATAACACATTTTGAGGCTTGATATCACCATGAACCATATCTAAGGAGTGCAAGAATGTGATCCCACGAGCAATCCCAAGCGCGATTAAGTGCCTCATTGGCCAATTCAGGACATGTCCATCATGGTGTGATGCTTCTTGCAGAAGAGTAGCCAAGTTGCCATTAGGCATGTAGTCATAAACTAGGAGTCTTATGTCAGGTGGACCGGCATAATACCCTCTCAACACAGTGATGTTCCGGTGCTTCACTTTCCCGAGCATCTCAGCCTCCTTCTTGAAGCCTCTATCATCAAGGAATCCATCAGGTAATCGTCTGATTGCGAGGACCATTCCATCAGCAAAGGAGGCCTTGAACACCATCCCATACTTTCCTCTGCTTAGAACATTTTCTTCATCAAATTGCCTTGTTGCTTCTAAGGCCTCTGCCAATGTAATCTTACTAGTGAACATGACAAGTTTTGGGACACCATTTTCGCTGCTGCTTCTACTTCTTTCTGCTCCAGAGCTTTTTCTCGGTGGGCTAGGTTTCTTCTCTGCCCCGGCTGCCTTGCCTTTGAGCTTCTCACGCAAACGCAGGAGGCTTATGATATAACCACAACAGCATAATGCTAGGAAAATAACCCCAGCAAGTGCAACACCAATAATCAATATCAACTTCTTCATTTTTCTCCGTCTCACATAAGAGCATTCCTTCTTCAATGGATACCCACACAGCTTTCCATTGTCTGCAAACACTGAAGGATCACTGAAGTGAGAACCTAGTGTTTTCGGGATTTCTCCTTCAAAATGATTCGAGGATAAATTAAGGCTCTGCAAGCTTGATATATGGGTTAGATTTTCGGGGATGGAGCCACTCAAATTGTTTGATGAAAGATCAAGCATTCTAAGGTGTAGCATTTTTGACATTGAGCCTGGAATAGGCCCTGATAAATGGTTAAAATCCAAGACCAACTTTTGCAAATCAGAGCATTTGGAAATATCCTTTGGTATATTACCATCCAAATTATTATGACCCAAATCAAGCTCCTTCAAATGAGATAACCTTGACAAAGAATTCGGAATATTGCCCACCAAACGATTCCTTTCAAGTTCAAGTACTTGTAACTCTGAACAATTGCCAAGCTCAGGTGGAATTTCACCCGAGACTTGATTATCTGAAAGAGAGAGGACATTCAGGGACCGGAGGAAGCCAAAAGTCGCCGGGATATCACCAGATAAAGAATTGGAGCTAAGATTCAAGTACCTCAAACCAACTAAACTACTAAAACCCTCAATAATATCCCCATGTAAATCATTCTCCTGCAATGCAACAGCCTCTAAATTGGGCAACCCAAACAATTCAGCAGGAAAATTCCCAGATAATCTCTGCTTGCTCAAATCTAAAACTCTTAGCCTCATCAAACCCCCAATGCTACTCGGAATCGAACCCGAAAACCCACAATGACTCAAATTCAACACCACTAAACTCTTCAAATCACCAACTTCTACTGGAACATGCCCAGAAAAATTGTTAAAACTGAGGTTCAAAGTGGTCAAATTAGTGAGTTGAAGCACCTCATTTGGGACCACTCCAGTCAATTCATTTTCACTCAAATTCAACACTTCCAAACTCTGAATACTCCCAACATCAAAGTCAATGAAACCCAAAAAACTGTTTCTTCCTAATGACAAAACCCTCAAATTACTCAAATTCTGAAAATTTTCTGGAATTTTCCCAGAAAATAGATTCCCTTCAAGATCAAGAACCCTCAACATACTACATTGTCCTAATTCCTTAGGAACTTGACCAATTAATGAATTATTAGCCACCTTAAACTCCTCTAAATTCGTCATATTTCCAAAATTCGCAAAAAGTGAACCAGTGAAGAGGTTCCCAGAAAGATCTAAAACCCTCAACGTTGGAATATCCGCCACCCAATTCGGAAACTCGCCAACAATGCGGTTACCGTGAAGGTCCATGACCTCCAGTCCACCCCTAAACGTGCACCCATTTGGGTGCTTAGCGATTCCCGTGAGGGCATTTAATCCCAAGAAAACGAATCGAAGCGACCGAGGGTTGGACACATTACAAAACACAGAGGCAGGAACTACACCAGAAAGTTTATTGGAGGTAAGAGAAAGTACCTCCAACTCCGGCATTGCACCAATCGTCGCCGGAATATTACCGGAGATGAAATTATCCTCAGCAGAAATATGAACAAGTGATGTACAATTCAATATCGCCGAAGGAAGAGTACCCACTAAAAGATTCGAATCCAACCACAAGTACTGCAGCCGTTTTAGCGCGCCAATGCTGGTGGGTATCTCTCCGGAGAACCTATTCGACGAGAGGTTAATCAGCGTCAGCTGTAGGCTGTCCGAGAAGTTCGCTGGGACCCGCCCGGAGAAGTTGTTGTACGACAGGTCCAGCACCCGGAGACTGGGTGAGATTCCGCCGGGGATTCTGCCCGACAGGTCATTACCGGCGAGATTAACGACCTGGAGATTACTAAGCGAGAGAATCCCCGGCGGAACATCGCCGGAAAGGGAATTATTATGAAGGTAAAGAGCACGAATAAGAGAAAGTTCGGCAAAAGACCTCGGAATAGACCCATGAAAGTGGTTTGAGTGGAGACTCAACCGCCGCAACTGCCGTAACTTCCCAATCTCCGGCGAAATAACACCGGTGAGCTGCAACCGTGGAAGGCGGAGCTGATTAACTCTGCTAAAGTAACAGCCAACTCCACGCCAGTCACAAGGGGCTAATGGGGTGGACGAATCCCAGCCATCTAATACGCCAAGTGGGTCATTAAGATGGCGCTTGAAGGCGAGCAGTGAGTCAACCTCCGTCACCGTAGCGCCGGAAAAAATGGTGGCAAAACAAAAGGTGAGAGTGAGGGAGAGAAGAAGAAAAATAGCCGTTGCCATAAAAATGAAGCATAAAGAAAAATGGTGGGATGAAAATGTAAGGAATGAATTATAGTATTATGGAATTATAGAAGGAGAATAATAATTGATGGTTTTTCATTTCATAGTTGTTGTTATTGTAAATTGTTGATGGTGTTTTTTTTGTGGGTTTTGGGGGATGCGAAGTTGGGAGAATGGAGCGTATGTTGCTTTTTAGTAGAGTATAAGTGGACTGTCAAATTTTTGCCTGTTTTTTTAATCGTACATGCTTTTTCTTATTAATTATTCACTCTTCATTTTTCCCCCCAAAAAAAAAATTCATGTAAGAGGCAATAAATAAATACAGTAAATTATGTTTCCTCAAAAAAAAAAAAAAATAATAATAATAATAATAATAATAATAATACAACGTATTAGAAACTACGAGTAGATGAATGGTGTGCCATATTGTATGAGGGAGGGATACTATTAAGGATGGAATTCTTGATTTTTCGGGTTTGTTATTGTATGGATAGATTTGACAAGGTTGACTCGTATTTTGTGATTGAATTGGATTGTTTTAGTCCAAGTTTGTTTGAAAATGGGTTTTTTGCATGTATTAATGTTAATGAGACCTAGAATTTAGCTAAAATGGTCCAGAAGTAATAAGGATGATTAATGTGGAGTATTGATTGAGAGACTTATTGGTCAAATTTTACTAAAACCAATTTTAAAAACCAACCTAGAATCCTACCCATCTAAATTCCAAACTACTAGTAATTACTCTTTTAATTTGGCAACAACCTTCTTTAATCTGGAGTATGAGGCTGTCAAACAATTTGTTTCATGTAGCTATTGTGTGGTAGGTGCTATGACTTGATGAGATATGCATTATGAGTATTATTACCTCTTCTAAGCGTAGTGATATGGTTTGAGCCGTCTGATACATTTCATTTGGTCACATCAAGAGATTCAAGACAATTTTTATTTTACAAAACAAGTAAAAAAATTAATCATTATGTCATTTAAGAAACATTGTTAACAAAAATTAAAATTAGAAAATAAACTAGTAAATTAGACAAACGTCTTATGATTAAGTAAAATGCGTAAAATGTCATCTTAAGGTTAAAAAAAGGTTTGGAAACACATTTTGATAATTTTAATTTACCTAGCAAGGCACTCATTTGCGGATCTTGGTCAAAAATATTAGAGGGGCCGGAATTTGAATCTCTTTTACATCTTGCTTAAAACTAATCATCATGTCCTAATATTTTAAAAGTGAAATTAGTTTTTTAAGTTTATAAACTAATTAATCCACCGGGGACCAGGTCCCAAATGACCCCAGTTAAAAGTGCCCCTCCGACACTAAGGCTACCAACTTAATGAAAAGAGCTTATGATTAAGTTTCTTAAGTATTTCTATTAGCTTGATTATAACAAGTTGAAGTCTTTTTCGTTCTATCACATCCCAACATTTCTCCCTATATTATGGCAAAGATATTTGACTTGAATGAGTTCTTTTTTAAAACATACAAAAGCATGTCTGCATTTGAGTGTTATCAAGTCTTTGATTATTAATGTAAAAGGTCACCCAATTCTTCAATTGTAAAGCTAATAAATACATATCAATTGAGGCATCTAGCTAACATTAATCTTCAAACTAGCATTAATCTTCGAAATGAGCTAGTCCAGAGTTCCCATTATTACTTGATTTCAACTCGCCTTTAAATTTATATTTATATTGATCAACCAAGGTTAATTTTAAAAATTTCATGCATTAATCGGAATTTCATAAACTCCACTCTAACAGCTTATAAATTAGATGCATTGATTTATACATACACCTTGACCTTTTTGCCAACGTCAACCACGAGAAAAAGAAAGGCAAAGAACATATATAGATTACAAAACCAACAAGTTGTGACTTGGACATAGTGTAGTTAGTTGAAGCACCATCAAAAACCAACATATCTTCGTCATCTACTATAACCCCCTTCCTCAAATTGTACATCAAAATGAATTGGAAAAAAGACGGAGTCTTTATTGAAACAAATTAACAACATATTAGAAACACTAATCCTTAATAATCCAATTTAATGGAATCAATAACTAATAGTTGTATTTCCAATAGAATAACGAATCGAATTAATTGAAATGAGTGTCAAGAACTCAATTGATTTATATACATTCGAGATTGGAAAATTCAAAAAACAAAATAAATCACAACTCATACTAATAACTGCACATAAAAAAATTTACTAATCAGATCAAAACTATTACATTTATTCGTTTTTGTTGGTTATGCTTTAATAATTTTCTCTCATAATTTTTTTTTTTTTTTTACGTAAAATAGGGATGAAGGGAGTAGTCTCTATCAACCTCCATGCATTGCAAGAAATTATAACACTCTTTAGAGGTCTTTGTCTTTGATGGTATCACCTGAAAGTTAAGGTATAGGTAGGTGTAGTGAATTGTCAATGGATTATTGGATTAGTATAATTAATGATGATAAATTTCTAGGCATTGGAGCATGTTACACTATATGGTGGTCCAAAGAAGGATGCTTTTATGGGAGCAATGTGGGTAAGTTTAGCCAAAAGTGACTCATAAAGTTATTCTATGTAGCTATTATATAAAAGTTGTTATTTTTCTTTCTTTTTCTTGGATTCTAGCTTAAGATTAACCAATAGAAAAATGTGTTGCTTAAAGATCTAAGAATTGGAGACTACTTTAGAGAATCCTCAAAGCATATGAAAACTAATGTGAATTATCATTATGTCAAATTTCTAAGTTATGCTTTAATTTATTTCTTAGGTTTGATCACGTGGAGGACCATGTTTTATATTATTGATTTCAATCTTGATACATACGAAGTAGAAAATTTAAAGTAGTTGTAGTATATATAATCGCAAATTTATGATATTATTTCATATGCAATGGACAGTAAAGTTGTGATGGATTGACGATATTTCGAGATCTAATGGTAAATTGATATGTTGATCGTGGTGGTTTATAACAACTGTGTAAAAGTAAACTACGTCCGAATGACTAATTTATTGTTGTTTGTTAATTATAGAATTGACTACTCACTATTTTTTTCAATAATTTCTATTGAATATTGATCTTTAACCTCTTTTAATATAGGTAAAGAATAAAAACCTCTCAAATTCAGCAATATGTCTCATTAATTATTGAATCGTATGATGTATGATGGAGCATTAGAGCTTATCTTGTTGTTGGGTATTCATTTCTTTGTTAATTTTTTTTGCTCCAAAGTAATGTAAATAGGGTAGGTGATGGACTATTTATTTACGTTCAATAATGCGTGCTTTATATTTGATTAATAAATCATGATGATTAGCCTTGTGGAAATAATAGTATCTTTGTGCACCAAAAAAAAAAAAAGAAAGGAAGTCAGATCATGATGTACAATCCTTAATAGTTGACATGATGAATATTTCATGAATATGTATAGTACTTCGTACTAGTTATACTTCGTAAATCAGTTTAGGCCAAATTTATAGCATTTTAAGGTTGTACATTCAATTATTTATCTTGGTGTTTTCATACAAGTACGACTTTGACCGATAACCATTTTACTATGTAATCTATTTATCGCCAAACAAAATTTGATCAAGTACGACATTTTTTGCTTAGATACGTTGAACTTGTTGATAATTATATACACCGGCATGTACATTTTTTGTCGAGCAACTTTCTTAGCATAGGTTGCAAATACGTTACCATCAAACGAACCATGGAGAATACATTTTCTATCGACTTCTTCTTTATGTATATGTAATCTTAATAATATTATATGAACCGATGAATAATATTATATGAATTGATGAAACTCCTAGATAACAATGGTGATGATTTTAATGATGGGTATAAGAAGCTTAATGATGAAATCAATCTATTTTATCATCAATATAATTTGTCTTAATAATTTCAAGTGAACTTTAATCTTTTATCAAGTATTCAGCCGCTTCAAAGTATTTAACAATGCAAATGCATATGATTGTTATGTATTGCATAAACTTTTCTACTAGTGTGATTGGATATTATATTTGTATGAATAACATAATATTTTTTTTTTAAGAGAGAACCCTTTTTGTACGTTTTAAGTTTTTTAGGGCATGCATATGGCCTTGCCCTTAGCTTGGTAGTTAATTAGTTTTCCATTTATTTTTTTCATTTATTGTTTATTTAATTTGTACTAATCCACAGCCTTCCATCATTAGCCAATGGTGCAAATAATTTTCTAGTAATGAGCTTAATTAAGAAAAACGATCATCTAAACTACTAACATCATTGTTGTCTTGAAACAAGCACCAAGAGAAATTGACAATCAAAGCACATTTTTTTTTAAAACGACAGATTAAAGAACATAGATCTAACTTTAGCTTAATAACTTACAAATTTCTAAAAAAAAATATTATATTAGAAACTTGATTATGATATCTATATAGATTTTGACATGCTTTAATTTTTTCTATCATTATTGGATCGCCTCTCTATAAACTTTGACATGCTTTAATTTGAACATTATTGATGTGCTTATTCACTTGATTTTCGTTTATATATCTTAATATAACTAACTTAATTTAGTACTCCGTAACCCTTTGAACTAATCTTATTAAACCTTATTTTTCTTAAAATTAAGTAGAAATAATGAATGAGACCTAATTAAGTCTCAACTTTAACCATACATGTACTACGTTAAACTATTAACAAAATGATCACAACAGCTAAAACCAAATTGAATGTAAATAAAAATTTACTAGGATTAAAAAATATTTAAAAAAAAAAAAACATAGCTCTATTCTATTGCACATTATCTGAACCCTCTCAAGTCTCAACTAATTGTAGAGGAAGAATTGCGTGATTGGTAAGATACAAAATATACCCTATTGCTTGTGCACAAGGGAATTGAATATACATACGAGATGGTTGTACATTATTATTATGGTAGTACATGTATTGATGTATGTATTTATTTTTGGATGATATTTAAAGAAATCATGAGTTTTTTCTAGAATTTCAACTTGACCATATTTAAGAGAAGGCATATATATGCTGCTGAAATGTGATATGTACTAGTAATAATGTTAGCACACATATAAAGTTATACCACATCAATAACTTCTGCACTACATATATGAATGTACATGTATGGCTGCGTGGCTGCGTTAGTTCATCACGTACATGATGTGCACATTTACTATATATGCATACACGTCACCGTCTTAGATCTAATAATATATTATTATTATTTTTACTGTTTATGTAATTAGCAAAATACTTATTGTTCGGACAATGTCCTATGTTGTTGGAAACTGACTTTGGCACATTCTCGGTGAAAGTAAAAATGA